TAAAGGTTTGCCTCTCTTAAGCCACTTTTTGATTGAAAATTATTCATTATGTATCTTATAACTAGCCAACAAGCAAAGCCTCCAAATCTTAGTTCACTTTCATAAAATTCATAGATAACTTGCATGCATATCATGTTCCTTAGGATAGAGTTTTTTTATAGGCATGAATTATAATATGCTTAGGTTTCATATTATTACACTAAGAAGTTTTTGTTTTGACCCATATGAGATTGTAAGATAAGTTGAGAGCTTTGATTGCATATAACTAGACCATAACATTCCCTTCCTTTTCATAAGCATTCTTTATATGCTAAAGATTATAAGCCCTTCATCTTTCCAGTCTTTTCTTAGAATTTGTCTTTATAGGATTCCTAATTTTCTTTCCTTAGTTGGAGATCACTAGGCTAGGGCTAGTTCTAGATGATGTAATTCATAGTTGTTAATATAGCGTCTCATGGTTGGGTTGACTTACTTTATAGCCAAGTAGTTTCAGGCTTGATAGTTTGGGATGATGGCCCTATGTAGTCCTAAGGTTTTTGTAATATTTTCCTTGACTCTACATCTATTTTTCACCTTCTTGAGCCAATTGTACTCTTTTTTAAGTCTTTGGTGATTCAAAGATCACTATTCCTATGGGCTTTCTATGTTGAGAGACAACTGTCTCACTTGGTTACTATGATTCACTCTTTGCATTAAGGATTACACCATCTCAAAGTATAAAGTGTCTTATTAGGATGACAAATATTTGAATCATAGTATTCTTTTGATGTTAACCCTGACAAACAAAGACATATATATGCTTCATTTATTCTAGACGTTATCTTAAAAGTTTCCTTGAGTGTGATTAATTCTTGGGAGCCTAATCCTTTTGGGAGATTGATCAACACAAATTCTATCATGACCCGGCCGGCTAGACCGAAATAACAAGGCGGGAATTGTTAGTCGTACGGAAAACACATAACATAAATCATAACCATTTCATTGACTGTTATAACAGAATATAAACTTCTTCATAATTCATACATAAAAAGAAAGAGCCACTAAAACATCAAATTGAAAGTGTTCCAAAAAGTTTCTTCTAAACCACAGCAACTAAAAACATCAACATAAACTTCAACATGCTCCTTAATTATAATCCATTAACTTGATTTACATAATAGAAAATATAAAACCTTTCTTTCTGAGGTCCTTTATGACGGTAGGTGTACTGTTGTCTCATTGCCATCACTTTCCAGATGATTCTCTTGAAAAAGATTCCCAGAAGTAGGGGTGAGCTTACTCGCTCAACAGTCAATTCATATTTCTCATAAAAATTTACATAAAACCAAAATAAAGCATCTTTTTTATAAGAAAAGTTTAAACAACAGTCAACATTTCATAAGTTCATAACATTACTTATAAGAAACATTTTTATAAATTTTCCTCAATCATAAACCTTTTATTTATTCTTTCCTTTAACATAAACTTTCATTTGTTTAGAAAACATACATAAATCACATTATGCGTAATGTTTATTATATCACCCGCCTCAGAAGTGCCCATTGAGTTTGTACTGATCAGGTACACATTTTTATATTATTTGGCCATTCCTTTACCATTGGCTCTAATGAGACTCCTTTACCATTTGACTCTGTTGAGCCTCATTTATCATTTGGGCACTCCACATCAACATGCACAGTTTCATATTAATTTTTCAGTCAATCATATGCTTAAAGAAAAACAATCATATTTCATAAGTCATATGCAAAACATGAAAAACCATGAATAACTTGTAGTTTACTAATCTATTTCAATATAAAGAATATTATACTAACAAGCTATTTGAAAGATAGAATTCATAAATCATTTGAACGTTAAAACCTTAAACATTTGAAATTACATGAAAAAAAGAAGACCAAACAACACATGAAATTTTTATGATAATATGAGTACCTACCTTAATCCAAGTACAACACTTCCTTAAAGTGTCGCTTTGACACACTTCGTTCACCTTAAAGATCACAACCTAATAGTCACATAAAAAGACATGTCACAAATAAATCTTCCTTAAGTTTTAATCAAATTTCTAATTGTCTAAACTTTTCATTTTTCATTAATTGTTCCTTACAACACTTAATAAAATTTATATTATTTAATCTTAATTTTCGGATTTATTAAAATTCTTAATTTTTGAAAACCCTAAATCCTCAATTTCTTCAAATTAAGTCGCCAAAAATTGTTCCTAAACATATTTTGATAATTAACTTATTCATTTTCGGATTTAATTAATTAGAAAATTATGAAAAATAAAATATTTTACAAAAACTTAAAATTTTGCTTTAGGAACACTACTAGGACCCATATAAATCACTTTTGTAAAAGCACCTTAAGGAATTTCAATTTTAGGTAAAAGCCCTAATTTTTTGATTTTAAAAAATTGTTAAAGAAAACTTCGTTTCTGTGGTTAAATCATTCCCCTAAATCTTCTCTATCGATTTCGTAAAGAAATTTGGAAAAAAAATCACATTTTTGGAAAAACCCTAGATTTTTTTTCCTTTCCAAATATCATGAGATTGAGAGGGATTCGCTTCAAATAAAACATACCTTTGTATTCCCCTTGTCGTCCTCTTCGATTTCTACTAATTTCCTCGCCGGAAAAATTTCTTCGGAGCCGTGCCCGTTGCTTGCACGTCGCCCCTAGCCGTCCGGTCCTCTAGGTTTCAGTTTGGCCGAAACATGCGAATGAATGGGGGAGGAGGCTCGGTTTTTCTTATTTAGGGAAATAGGAAAATCTAAAAAACCACGATACCCTCCCTTAAACAATTCCGGCTTTAATGACGATTAGGGGTTGTTTGGGTATTTTTAGGCTTCTAAAATTTCTATCTCTCAAAATACACAAAATTTACTATAGGTTCTATATACCAAATCGATCAGAATTTTGCGTAGAAATTTATAAAATTACTTCCGTCGAATTCCGTTAACTTCAAAATTTTCACTTAAATCTCTTCGCGACGCTTCGAAATGCGTGCGATTCCTACGATCATCCTAATTTTGGGTTTTACAAATTCTGTACTTGACTTTGATGTTATGACTTATTTTGAGTATTTTATATAGCTTGAGATAAGATTTATTGGTCTCCCCCCACTAGATCTATTCCCTTATCTTTTTTTTTTTTGAGAAATTTTCTATGTGAGAAGAACAACCTTATATTATCATCCTTTTTTCTCACAGCAAATGTGTTTTGGTGTAGAATAATGAATCAAACATTTAAAAGTTAAATTATTTGAAATTTAGAATAAAATTTGTGTTTATGATATTTAATTTAATGGATGTGATATTAACAATTGCTATCCAATGTTATTGCAAGATTAAGTTATGCTTAGGTGTGATATTGTGAAGTATCTTGGAGCTATTATATAAAAGAACTGAGGTATTGCTGATGATATAATGTATAGAGTTAGTGCTAGGTGATTAAAATGAAGAAGTTGCGTAGGAGTATTATACTAAAATAGGATGTCTTGTATGCTTGAAGATAAATATTATAAAGTTATAATGAGGCTCATGATGTTTAATGTATTTGTGCAGTAAAAAACATTCATTCATAGCTAAATTAAACTCATATTGAAACTAAACTATTAAAATAGATGTATGACAATTTTAGGAATCATAAATTAATGAATGATTATATGAAAGGAATAGTTAAAATGTCATTTATTGAAGATAAAATAAATAAAAGAAATCTATGTGGCTTGATTACAATGATCGTTAGAAAATGCATTGTCACATGAGTAGATAAAATTACTGCAGGAGGTATAGGGGGATTAAGAAAGAGGAGTGGATATACAATAAAATGGATGAAAAAAAGATCAAAATGATTTGTAAAAAATAAGTTGAACACTATGGGCTCAACAAGAATAGATGGAAAATGAAAATTCATAAGGCTGACTCTATTTAGTTTGGATAAGGCTAATGATGATAATCTTGTTCACCTACATTAGGAGTTATCCATGCTTCCACTGTGCATGCAAAAATTTAGATTATAAGCAGCAAGTATTATTGCATTTTTCGGGCTACTGCAATTTTCATACCCTTAGTGGGGGTACCAATTTTGTTCAGCATGCTTCCTTGGGCATTGACCTAATATAAACACAAATGGCTGTTATACAATTAAGTAGTGGATCTGAAAATAACCTGGGTATGTCTGGAGCCACAATCTTCACCTTCTTAACAAACAGTTCAACATGATTGTTTTGTTCAAAAGATGTGAGTTGCAGTAAAAAGGTGGAGTGTGAGAGGGATGTTTCTACTGGTTTATGTTAGCAGTTCCATTCTTGCAGGTAAACTTTCTAGGTCACTTAGCTGGTGGTGTTTCAACCCAGGACTCGCAATGAAAGAATTTGTGAAACTTGGTGTGCTCTCAATTATATTGACATCCGGAACATTATCTCCCCTTGAATCATGTGCCCAGGAAATGAACTTGTACGTTAAAAATGTCTTTATTGCATTCTTTGATTTTTTTCCCCTTTAAAACCTTTTTTTGCTGATATATGTTTTTTTTTCTCTTTATATAAAGGGAATTTCCAGTGAGGTTGGAGAACCCTCATGTTGTGTCATCTGATCAGGTCTGGGTGGGAGTTGTACCTAGTGGTCCCTCTGGTTATTCGCTTAATTCCTCCTATCGCACTCGTGATTCTCTTGAGTATAAGCAGGAACTGGGCAACACCATTGGTATACATTAGATAACTAGCATGTTTGTAGAAATTTAGTTAAAATTCTGCTCTGATGTTCCTTTTGTGACGCTGCAGTGAATTTATCTAAAATTGTGCCTGCTGGATTACTTGTCTTCTTTCCATCTTACTATCTTATGGATCGATGCATTGAATGTTGGAAGAGTATGGTGAGGAAATTATCATGTTTATGATTGATTTAATCTTTTCTTGCACTGGTGTATTTATGAAAGAATTTAGATCTACAGAGTCATGCAAGGTCGAGTGATTGCATTACAATATGGGAAAGAATCTGCAAAAATAAACAGCCTGTTATAGAACCCAAGCAGTCGGCACTTTTCCCAAATGCAGTCGAGGTGACACTTTAACTTAATGATATTTACGTCTCTGCCACTTTTACTGTGGTCCCACCACAGCTACGTATTATCTCAAACTTTCCTCTCTCCTAAATGACCTTTTTCTAATTTATTGTTTCCCTCTTCTTTCAGGATTTTGAGGCTAAACTGCATGATAGGACTACTTCGGGGGCAATTTTTTTTGCAGTTTGTCGTGGCAAAGTAAGTTTATTATTGAACATTATTTATCATCAATTTTTTTGTAAAATATTTGCATTTTGCTCCTCCAATTTTTACCTTTCTTTTCTCTCTGAACCACAGTTTGATATGCTGTTGAGTAAATTGCTATCTTAAATGGTAATGTCAAATTATTGTCAGGCCTCTTCTAATACTCATGAATCCTTGGACAACACATGGTCTACTTGCATTTTAACCCTATTCTGAAGGCAAATTAATTGAGAAAATGATCAAAATAGCCTCTTAACTCTTTATGAAAGACAAAAATGATCCCCAATTATATTAAAATACCATTTTGAGCCCTCAAGTCTTTAAAGCGGAATCAAAATAGTCGTCTGGTGGGACTTTTTTTTTTCTTTTTTAAAGAATTGAGAGACCAAAATGATCATTTAATATAGTTGGAGATTATTTTAATTATTGATAAAGAGTCAATGAATTATTTTGATTCTGTTAGTTGGAATGAGTGTAAGTTTTTTGTAGCCATCAGATGTGAGAGAACTAGATTTGATCTACAAGAATTTGACTATGTGATCGTAAGTAGCTTAGGCATGCTCTGATAATTATTAAGTATTATGGCCATACTTAGCACTAATACAATTCCAACTCAACGTGAGGGTTTATTGTTTACATCTAAAGTTGGCTTTTGTGATGTTACCTCCGAGTAGTTATTGCCATGGAAATTCTATTGATTACTATTCATGGAAGATTTTTGTCATGATTGTTTAGACAATGGGACAAACTTAAATTGTCTGATTCTCTATCCATAGCTCGAAATTCTATACCAGAGCATTATAGTGTGGCTCTAGCATTGTCTTGATTTTCTTGTTTAATTGGACTATGTCGAAATAGGCTAATGTTTTTGTCCCTGTGCTGAAACACAGCTTAGGCCTATAAGCCTGCCAGCAATCCTTATATGTTCAAGCCTAAATAAGAATTCTACTAGGGATTGCTTTTATAGGTCTACTGAACCCAATTAAATGTGGAATACATTAATTAAACCTAATATTTGAGTTTAGAATCACAATCATTAAAACATTATGGTTGAACCCGTAAAAAAAAGACAGCAAGATATAAACAATGTTGCTGTACCAAACCATCCAGTTTGAAGTAAACCTAATGTAGAACTAAATGTATGAGAAATTATGGAATGTTAAAGTTACACGCCTTTTGAATTAGAGCAATAATAATTACGTTGGCTTCTAGTGATTTAACAAATATTAAAACAATAGAGAGATGATTAAAGTTTAGACCAAACTATATGTAAGCGTTAGAATCATGAATAATCAATTACAATCAAGAATAGCATAGCATGAGGGATTTTCAAAGGAAATCCTTGAATTAAAAATAAGATTAGGCACTATTCGGATCCTCCTCACTCACACTCTTGATGTCGGCTAAACGGAGATAGGTTGCACAATCTTTATGATGCCACAAATTAAAGAGAGGACTTAGAAAAGCAAGAGATTTGGAGGAGACATTCACCTTGATCAATATTTAGAAACGATCTGCCACTGGACGGAAACGAGTTGTTCGTCGATAGTGGCGGCGAGGGTGAAAATGATCCTCTCAACGGATTATTCTACGGTTTGATCAATCTCTAGGTTGATGTTGAGGAACGGAGACTTGAGTATGTCCACTTGCCCTTGATCGATGTAAATAAATCCGTGATCAAGCTTTGGATTTGTCATACATGTGGTAACAGCGGATTTTAATGTAATAGCGCTTCTGGACAACAAATGACCTATTTCTGGAGGGCTGGACAGCTAGGGTGAGGCAGGAAACTCTTGGACAACAAAGAGTAGTATTCCGGTGAGCAGGACATCAAAGTATTCCTGCTGAAACTTCTGGACAATGGGAGGAAATCTTCAAGCAAAGTTCTGGACAACAATTTGTTTATTGCAGAAATCTGGATAGCAAACTCCGGTGAAGTAGGATTAATTAGGGAGGGAGAGGGAGAGGGAGAGGGATAGGGAAATAAGGATCAGATTTTGGGGGAAAAGGAGGGAGGGATTTAATTGTAGGTTTGAATTTGAATTAGGAGCATTAAATGAAAGCAATTAAGGGAGGGGAGAGGGTAGGCCTGCGAGCAAGGGTTGGGGAGGTGATGTGGGAGGATTTAAGGAGGTTCCAAACTTGAATTAATAAGGAAGGAAATGACAAATCATGAGAGATCTCTAATGAGATTTGATTGTGAAGATAAAAGAAAGTTTCTTAACATAACTCGTCATATTTTAAGAAAAGATTTCAAATTCAAATTAATTTAAATTTGAATTTAGAAACTTTCCTAATTTAAGATGGGCTGAATAAGGAAGGCTTTGAATACCCAATTTGAATTTTTGGAGGCAAAGGAGAGGGAGGTGGCCGGTGGTTAGGAGATTGGAATGGGGCCTATGGTTGGCCGACGACTAAAGAGGGGGAAGAAGACTAGGGGCAGCGGTTAGGGGAGCGATGGTGGGATTTGGCCGGCGGTTAGGGAGGGGAGGGAAGCCTGAAGGCCGGCGGCTATGGTGGGGAAGGGAATGCTTAGAACTGGCGGTTAGGGGAGGGTCTTGGAGTTCTTGGTCGGCGTCTATGGAGGGTAGTTGGGCGGCGGTTGGGAGAAGGATGAGAAATAAGGGTAACCACGAGCTCGTATGCTTCGTGTGGTTGGTGGGTGATCCATTTCCCTCACCTAGGGTTCTCACCAAAGCTCTCTCTCAAAACACATAAGAGAATTACTGAAATTTTCATAATATTCTTCATTAATGATGCGAGCAAAAATTAGGAAAAATCATAATTTTTGCAAGCAAAAATAAAAATCTTCCTAGGACAATAAGAAGGATACAAAGACACTCTTGAAATAGCAAAAGCAACAACTTTATAACATATAAAAAGGACACTTACAACTTTTGACGCTTACAAACACAAACCTAAACTTGCTTTCTTGGATTGAGAAGAAGGATACAAGTGGAAGGGAACTTGCGGAGAGATGAAAGAGATAAGAAGCTGAGATGGAGGAGCAGAAGCTCGCAAGTTTTCCTAGAAGAAGAGAGGAATGGAATAAGCTCGCAAGCTTTTCCAAGAAGAAACCCGCAGGTTTAGCTCCAAAAATTAGTTACATAACATCCTTTTATTCATACAAAAGACCTTTTATTTATAGAGGAAAGGGGGCATCCAAACAGCCATCAACCTCCAACCAAACCAATCAGGTAAGGTAAGATAGAAAGCCACAATTCATTCCAAAACAACAGCCAAAAAGGCAGCACAGGAACTGGGTAAAACAACCAGGGAAGCAGCCAAAAAGGCAGCACATGAACCGGGTAAAGCAGCCACGGGAAAGCAGCCAAGGAAGAAACCAAAAAGGCAGCACATGAACCGGATAAAAGAAGCCACGGGAAAGCAACCAGGGAAGAAACCAAAAAGGCAGCGCAAGAACCAGAACCAGAATCTAGCAAAGGGAGAAGGACAACCATGGAAAACAACACCAGTAAGAAAAATGAAAAGACACGAAGGGAGGGGAAAAGACAAGGTTCCAACTCCACATAATGAGCTTTCAAGTGCAATAATTCCACCAAATAATGAGTTAAAATATCAGCTCAAGCAATAATGAGCTAGAACCAAGTAGATCCCAAATTTTCAGCTGGT